ATGGGCCGCCAGGGCGGGTGAGGCCATTGCATCTGTAGACTGCTTGCACCGCCAGCGCTCGGCACGTTCAGCCCCCTCCCTAATCATTGTCAAGCCAGAGCCGCCCACATTAGAGCAAAGGATCCAGCAGGCTCAGGTTTCTCTGAAGGCCGCTGGGTCCAAGCATCATCGTGTGGCCTCGCTGTTCGTGGGCGAAACCCAGGTATTTTGTTGCACTCACTGCGCTGCATGCACCACCCAGCGCGTGGTGTCTCTTGCGAGTGAGTGCCAGCCCCGTCATCTTTCGAAGGATCGTCGCCTTATCCTGGAACGATTGAGACGGGGCGAGTACTGTTTAGCCAAGAGCGTTCTGAGGTATGCAGGTTATCGCCTGCTCCCAGAGCCCTAATCCTTGTCAGTGGCTGCCCAGCGGGGGGCGCGGTGCGAGTGGGGACTGCCCGGCGTTGCGCCGTTAGTGACCCTCGCACCGTTGCTCCCCGGCCCCGCGCACGGCGCGGAGTGTGTCCGATGGGCGCGGCTAATGGCGGTTGCAAGGTGCGCCCCTAGCCGCGTTCGAGGTCCTGCTGAGGCACCATAGACTCTGTGGCGCCCCAGGCTGTGCCCAGGAGGAGGAGGAGGAGAACATGGATGAGGTGCTTTTTCGAACGGCCGAAACGGTCCTCCCAGTCCCCTCCACCTCCTACTCCTTCTGGCTCTACCCTCGGCTCGGATTGCGCTGGACGCCTGCCCGACGTTCACTCCTCCTCCTTCTCCTCCTCCTCATCCTGCCTCCTCCTTCCTGGGTGCCCGGGGGATGCCCGGATGCCCCGGTGCCGGGGTGCCTGCACTGCCCGGGTGCCTGGGTGCCCCGGTGCCCGACAGGGGGTCTTCCGTGCGGGTATTCCGTGCGGCGACAGTGCTCTCGCTGCTGAAGGATGCGAATCCAAGGGCGCAGTTGTACGACCGAGTGCGTTGCATGAAGTGGTCGTGGGAAGGACCCGGACGAAGGAGCTGAGCCATTTCGGCCGGAGCGGGAGGCAGTAGGGGGATGCCAGCCAGGGCTCCGTACCTGCAGCACGCGCCGAAGTCCTTTCTGCGTGCTGCCGGGCAACGCGCGCGTTCGGCGAAGAAGTGCAGAGCCCCGCACGTTGCGCAGGCTCCTTGAAAGTGGCCGGTCGGAGAGAGCGACGCTTTCGGAACGCGGTTGCTGCACCATTCGTCTGTCGACCACCAGCCGGCGCGGTGGCCGGTGCGTACGCCAAGAGAAGTCCCAGGCACGGGTTCTGCGAACCAGTTCCGATGCGCTGCGCAGGCGGGCGGACAGCTGGACGAGTTCGGAAGTGCTATACGCGGGTGGACTTGAGGCGACACCACGGCACGGAACATTTCGGCGAGTCACGTGCTCGGAGGTACATGCGGACGGCTGCCGCCACCTGCTTGCGGAGTGCTTGCAACGGATCGCTACGTGGACGGGCGTGTGGGACACCAGAAGACCCCGACGTCGGAGGATGATGGGGCCTGGCGGCGGCGGTGGCTACCGCGGCATGTCGGACGTGGTCGGGGCAGTATCCAGTGGCGTACATTGCTTTCGTCAACTTTCTGTCGCACAATGGGAAGGAACATGTGGGTTTAAAGCAACGTTCGCACATGCCGCTGTTGCGCGGCACTGCGCGTCGCACGCCATGGCGGGCGGGGGCGCGGCAGCCGGCCTTTCCGGGCCCCTGGCAAGGGGGCCCCGCGAGGCAACAGTGCCTACATTCCACCACGGCGCCGAGAGGGCCCACGAGAAAAGCGCACCCAATGGCACGATTGCTACATGGCTTCCCTTTCCGAATGCACGCGACGCAGAGGCCGTCGGACGATTTCCGTTGAGCTACACCGTTGCACCCAGACGAGCTACAAGGGCGTTCGGCTTGCTCGTAGGATCGTTTGGAGAGGGATGGTAGTGGTTGTGGTGTGGACAGCCCACACGTTCGACACAGGCCTGCTGAACCAGGGGTGGAACGGCCGTCGCACCTACGCGTCGCGCGTGGGAAACAGGACGAAGTGCAAAGACAACACAAAGTGTCCTCTGGCGACTCGACTACGTTCGTACACGGGGGCGTGCGGCAGAAGTGGAGCAGGGCGGGCGGTTGGCAGACGAGGCAATGCTGTCCGTGTTGTCGAGGGGCGCGGAAGTTGCAGGTGGCCGTAGCGCAAGGAAAGACCCCGACGATGCACATGGGGCATTGCGCGCCTGTTCGAGATGTGCTTTCTTGCACCGCTGGCGCCCCGCACTTCGGAGCGCTACATCGCGAGGGCGTAGATGCAAGCGCAGTCGAAGACTGCGCTGGAGCGGCTAGAGAAGGGCTGGCGGCTGGGCTGGCTCCGCCACAGTGAGCGCACAGATCTGGAATTCCGGGCGCTCCTCGGCGCGAGAAGCACAGTGTGCACGGTCGACGTCCGGCTTGGGATGGGACGCAAGTACTGCGGGCTGCATCGCTCCGTTCCTCCTGGCAGCCAGGCGATGCGCAGGCGAATTGCCGACCAGGGTTGTACGGGCAAAAATGGTTGTTGTGATGGTTAACGCATTGCGGCAGCCGGCCTGCTGCATTTTTGACCTTTTGCCGGACGTGGGAAGGACGCCCCAGCACCGCGAAGCGACAAGGCAGGGAGCCTTCAGAGCACGGAAAGCACGGGCCAGATGATTTGCTGGTTGCCAGAAGGCGGCAGCCGACGCGGGCGTTCCTACACAAGTTCCATTCACGCGTGGTATTGTGGCATGGGTCGGAATAGTGCGTTTTGCAGAAAATAGGCGTGACATGTGTTTATGGCCGTCGGAAGGGTGGAGCTACAGGAGCCTCGCACTGGGGGTGGGCACACCGTGCATCTGCCGAAAGGCACCGCTTGCAAAATCTTTGACGTTCTCGTTTGTTGGTGTCTTCGACTGGGATCTGAGCTTGGAGTCCACTGTAAAATTGATAGTTATGACACGTGTGTCGCGGCCTCTCAATAACAGCTGAAGCATGCGGAGGTGCAGGGAGCGGCGGCTCGACCCGCGATATGGATGGCAGCCTGCAATGCCGTAAAAGTGAGCAGGAGAATACTGACTGGTGACTGCGGAGGCAGCAGCATCATGTCTTCAGCCGATATGGGGTACGGGGTCGGTGGAGCAGGACGCGGAAGTGCAACTCGGAGACCTTGTTGGAAACTCCGGGAACAGCCTCGGCGCTGACCTGGGCCCCGTCATGGCTCCATGGACGGGCCAATGGTTGTGCACGGAAACGGAAAGAGCGCTGAAGGAACTTGCCCGAGACGGCTCATGGCACCCTTCGCTCTTGGGAGCGTAAATGTTAAGGGCCGGTTACGTCACTGGTCCCCGTCCTCCTCTCCTCCTCGTCCTCCTCCTCCTCCTCATCATCATCAGCCTCCTCCATGTCCTCCCCGCTCTCTTCAATATGCCGCTCCTTCTCTTCCTACACCTCGTTCTCGTCCTTCCTCACCTCTAGTCACTCCCCAGTCCTCCTCATCCTTCGCTCCCCTTCCATCCTTGTCATCAGCATCCCTCGCCACCATTACTTACGCCTCCTCATCGTCATAATGTATGGTGTGGCTCTCGCGTGGCCATCATTGGGCTGTCTTGGGGCCTCGCATGACCCTCTCGGGGTCAGTTTTTGGAGGCATACTGGAAGTCTCTGGGGCGTATTGGGGGGAGTTGTTGGGCCTCTTGGGAGCCTCCGGGGAGCCTTTTGGGGGGCGCTTGGGTGGCCTCGGGGGGCTTCTTGCGGCCTCGTGGGGCCCTCTTGGGGTCCGCTGGGCTCGCTTACGCAATCTTGAGGCCATGTCAGGGCCCTCCTGGGGCCGTCTTGGGCGACTCCTGCGCCGTCCTGGGGCGCTCTTGGGCCGTCTTGGGACGCCTTTGGGGGCGTCTTGGGCCGTCTTGGGCCCGGCTTAAGGGTCTCTTGGGCCGTCCTGGGGCTCTCTTGGGGGCCTCTTGGGCCGTCTTGGAGCGTCGGAAAGCAAAAAAAGCAAGAACGCGAAAAACATCGAAAGAACCAATGACAAATCAGCGTTTGTGGCCTCTTGGGGTTCTCTTGGGAGGCCTCTTGGAGGCCGCTTGGGGCGTGTTGGTGGCCTGTGGGCTCGTCTGGAGGCCATGCTGGCGCGTGTTGGAGGCTCGCTGGCCTTTTAGGCAGTCGTCAGGCCATGTCGGGGCCCTCCTGGGGCTGTCTTGAGCGGCTCCTGGGTTGTCTTGGGGCTCACTTGGGCCATCTTGGGACGCCTTTGGGGGCCTCTTGGGCTGTCTTGGGGCCGGCTCAGGGGCCTCTGGGGCCGTCCTGGGGCTGTCTTGGGTGCCTCTTGGGCCGTCTGGCAGCGTCGGAAAACAGAAAAAGCGAGAAGGCAAAACAAAATAAAAAAACAATGAAAAATCAACGTTTGTGGCCTCTTGGGGCTCCTTGGGAGGCCTCTTGGAGGCCGCTTGGGGCGTGTTGGTGGCTTCTGGCCTCGTTTGGAGGCCATGCTGGCGCGTGTTGGAGGTCCGCTGAGCTCGCTTAGGCAGTCTTCAGGCCATGGCGGAGCCCTCCTGGAGCTGTCTTGGGCGGCTCCTGGGCCGTCCTGGGTGCCTTTTGGGCCGTCTCGGGACGCCATTGGGGGCTTCTTGGGCCGTTTTGGGGCCGGCTTAGGGGCCTCTTGGGCCGTCCTGGGGCTCTCTTGGGGGCCTCTTGGGCCGTCTTGGAGCGTCGGAAAGCAGGAAAAGCGAGAAGACAAAAAACATGGGAAACACTAGTGAAACAAAAAACAAGGTTTTTTGCCTCGTGGGGCTCTCTTCGGAGGCGTCTTGGAGGCCGCTTGGGGCGTGTTGGTGGCCGCTGGGCTCGTCTGGAAGCCATGCTGGCGCGTGTTGGAGCGCTCGCGGGCTGTCTTGGCTGGGCTGGAGCCCGCCCTGGCGGTCTCTGGAACCGAACGGGAACCCTTCCGAGCGGCCCCGGGGGCCCTGCACCCCCATGCGCCCCCGAGGTCCTTGGGCTCGGCCGGGGGACCTCGTCCCCCGGGATATATCTATATATATATATATATATTCCGATGACATGTTGGGCGACGTAGAAGTGGCAAGGAAGCCGGCATGTCAAAATACTCACAGAGCTGCGATCGCCACGGAGGCGTATTGGAGCTCGGACGTGCCCCGCGTCGCTAGGTTTGCAAGCGATACTGTCTTGAGGCACTGCGCGTTCGGAGTCGCCGCGTCGGCGTGGTCATCTTCTCCGAGAAGCCCTCCGACAGTGGCGCTTGCGCGCCCCAGATGCTTGACGAAGATGTTTAGATACTTCTGGCCCGTCTCGGCGCGTCCATGGACAACCTTCATCTCGACCGGTCCGAAGTGCAACCACATGGGCTGCTTGTCGGGCGAATCCCCGGCTCTGAAATGAATGTCCGATCTTGCCCATTTGCCCGTGATGCTGACGGTCTGGAAGTATAACTCAGCGCAGGACGCGCCTAAACGGCGAGCGTAGGCCTCGACGGTGAGCATGCTGTCCTTCACGGGCACACCACGAGGAATTTGAATGAGCGTGAAGTTGCCCTGCTTCATCAGGTCGAACCTCTCCCCGTGGATGTTCTGCAAGTGTGGGTCGCCTACGGCAGATGCCGGAGATGGCGTCGCTGGCGTCGGTGCAGGCGTCGCGGCAGCCTCCTTCCCGTAGCAACTATATCCATTGTAACTGCTGGGAACCAGATCCGACACAGTGGTTGCAACGTGTCCGGTGTTGGGAGAATACGCAGGGCAAGGGTTTATCGTAGACATGAAAGCACAATGGCCTGGCTCGTGCGAGAAACCGATGCACCACGCCAGTTCCGTGCAACGATCCTGGCACTCTTGGAAAGTAGAATACGAGCCGGTGCCTGGAAAGCATCGATACGGGTAGCCGCCATCCACGTGGCCACAGTAGTTCGACGTCGAGATCGTAGCATAATTTGAGGCCTGCTTCTGGGTTCTCGTGATGAGCGAGGCGTTGCGGTGGTCGATGTCCTGAGGGGAGACAGATGAAGGAGACGGCGTTGCGGTGGTTTTTTCTCCCACCTGCACGGTAGCAGAAAGCGCGACGAAAGCGCCATGGGCGAATAGCGCAACCACATATACGGCCAACGGCACCTTCCGAGTCCCCGTCGCCGCCATCCTGGCAAGTCGAGCAAGAAGAAATTACAGGTCCTGTAAGATGTGTGAAGACAGAATAATGTATTGGTCCAGAATGAGTACGGAAGGCAGACCGGGCACAAGCTTGACAACGGTATGCGACACAGATGGTGAGTTTGAGGGCCCGCACCGATCGGCAAAACAAGGAACAAGAAAACGATCACGTGGTCCTTCGGCACGCTTCCCTGCACACCGAGATTTGGCGGCGCGCACAAGGGGGTGGGGGGAGGGGGGAGGGCTTCTTAGAAGCAGGCTGCTTCCTAGAAGGCACCGGCCTTCCATCTATAGATAAGGCCCGCGCCTTCTAAGAAGCAGGGGTGCTTCTAAGAAGCCTTCCCCCACCCCCCACCCCCCTCTGCGCGTGGCTGAGAGATGCGCTCAAAAGCGCCTCCCAGACGCCTCCCCGGGCCCCTCCCGGCCAACTCTTCGAGCTGCGCCCCGCCGTGGCGACGGGCCCCCCCCGGGAGGCAGCGCCCTGAGACCCGCGGACCGAAGACGTCGTCGACATCGGCTGGCGCGCGTCCACCTTTTGGAGGGCGCTGCTGGCCCTCCGACAGCGCAGACCGTTCGATCTCGATCGATCTGGCTACTGTCGACGTTCGTCCCTAGAACTCCCAAGCATGCCTCTGCGCGTACTCCTCAGCGTCCTCCATCTCACCTTCATCTCATCATCTTCTCTCCAATCTCATCGTCTTCTCTCGAAGCCTAACGCGGCCAGGGCCCGCAGGGAGCCCGCCGTATTTCTTGTTTCGCTCACTCCACCGGCCCATCTCTACTGGCCTCGGCCCATCCCGCCACCGCGGGTGCCTGAGTGGTGGGTCTGAGGTCTCCGGGATGTTCGTCGGGACCTCGTCCGGGAAATCCGGAAAACGTGGGGCGGCCCCCCGACAGGGGCGCACGGGCTGCACGGAAAATCCGGAAATTCCGGAAATCTTGGAACGTCCGTCCGGAACGTCCAGGATGTCCGGAAAATCACGAAATTGCGGGGCGGCCCTGTCGACAGGGGCGCAATTGCTGCAAGGAAATTCCGGAAATTCCGGAAATCTGTCCGGAAAAAAATGCCCGGGAAATCCGGAAATCGGGGGGCGGCCCTCCGACGAAGGCGCACGCGGCCTGCACGGAAAATCCGGAAATTCTGGAAATCTGGGAGCGTCCGGAACGTCCGGAACGTCCGGGAAATCTGGGAACGTCCGGAACGCCCAGAACGTCGGGGATCTCGAGAAAATCCCAAAAAGTAAGGAGCGGGCCTCCGACAGGGGCGCAATTGCTGCACGGAAAATCCGGAAATTCCGGAACTCTAGGAACGTCCGGAGAATCTGCCAGCCCCGACCATCAACAACCTCAAAATATTACGGGCCCCGTAAATTATACTGGTTGTTCTCACCTTTTGCGGTCTGTACCTTCAAATTGCAGTAGGAACGAGATGTTCCTCCTCCTGCTCTTTCTCTTCCTCCTCGTCGTCGTCCTCTTCCTCCTCCTGCTCCTCTTCCTCCTCCTCCTCCTCCTCCTCCTCCTCGTCCTCCTCCTCCTCCTCCTCCTCCTCGTCTCCCTCCTCCTCTGATGTTGACGATGCTGATGATGATGATGATGATGATGACAGTGATGCTGGGCATGACGATGATGATGATGATGGCGATAATAATCACTATGTTTTTTTCATTCAGGCTACCACTCTGCCATGGCGCACGCGTCGATGTCCAGATCCAGCAATAACTCCTCGAATGCACAATGGACCCATTTAGTCAGCATTGAAACGGCAATAGTAGATGTATGGACCGTATGGGCAATACGAATGAGACGCCCGATGAGGTCCTCGTCGCCGCACGGCCCTTGGCCGACAGCACCGGGATGCAAGAGTACCCTGAGCACCCGCGGGTTGTTTCGCGCCCGTAGTCTCAGCTGCTCCACGTGCGGATCCAGGATCGCGGCAAACCGCCGCTCTGGGTTGAGTGAAGACGGAGCGCCCACGGAGGGTGGCGGCAGACGGCCCTTGGCAGACAGCACCGGGCTGCAAGAGTACCTCGAGCTCCCGCGGGCCCCTCCCCGCCGGGGGGGCGACGGTGCCGGCGCCCAAGGACGCGGCCGCTGGACAGGAGCACGCGCGGGCTCTTCACTGCCAGTGCGGTGCCACGACGGGGTGCAGCTAACGGCTGCTACGAGGAGACGACCAGCCACTGTTTCTTGCCCTTCCTGGGTGCGCGGGTGCCCGGGTGGCCCTTCGCCGCCTGGCGACCCCTGCCCGCGCCGCCGCTTCGACCCGGGCGCCGATGCCGCAGCTGGGCCCAGTCGACGCCGAGGCCCAGCGCGTCGCTAACGGCCCGTACGTCGCACTTGTGGCTGCGGAAGGAGGACAAGAAGTGAAGGCAAGTTTGCGGGTCGTGCCGTAGCGGGTCGAGCGCGCCTTTGCTGCCAGGCGCGGTTTGCTGCGTGGCGAAAGCGTGCCAGGTGCCCGTGAACATTGCCCCCAGCGTGACTTGAAACCGCCTTATCGCCTCGCCGGGTCTCCCCGGGAAGGCCCCACTGGATGGTGCCGATTTTTGCTTTGTACAGCTGTTGTCCCGCGTCGGTCTGAGGGCTCTGGCCACTGGCGCGGCTGCCGCGCGTTCTGGCCGCAAGTCTCCGGCGAACCAGCCCCGCTGTCCTGGGCGGAGGGCTCGGAATCTGTTTGCGACAGTTCTGGTTGCACGCCTGGCGGGGCCCTGCGGGTAGGTGCGGGCCGCGTAGTTGGCCGCCGGGCAGGGGCCGGATCGCCTCCGGCAGCCCGGGAGGACAGCTGTCCTGAGGTGCGCGGGGAGAGGCCACTTTCGCTGGCGTTCGCCTTCGGGCCTGCGCCCGCCGTCGCTCACGGGCGCGCCCCCTTCAATCGCCGCGAGGCTCTCGCCGGACGCGGGGGCGCCGCTGGTCGCGCCAGGTGCGCGCGCGCACGGCGACACCGTTTCCATTGCCAGAACGCAAACTTCTTTGTCAGGCGTGTCCCGGGCGTCTGGAGGGAGCGCCTGAGGTTCGCCACCCATTCGGGCGGGTTCACTGGCAGGGGAAGGAGGGCGAATAAGTGCGAAGGGGTTACTCCCGACGAGCCGGCGGATGGCTTCGATGTCCTTCCCAGAGGACTGCTGGCAGTCTGCCTATTTTGTGGGGAAGGCGGGGATGGCGCGCTGTGGCAGGCGAGCCCCTGCTGGTCCAGGATCTCGCTTCGCGGACTGTTGCGGCTGCCGTCCGCACTTTCGGATGCAAGCTCGTGTCTGCCCGATTCTGCTCCAGGGGCGCGGCTGACGGCTTGCGCCTCATCCGCACCTTCAATGGCCTCCGCCGCTTCGGGCCCCCGATCTTCCGCGGCCTCCGCAGCTCCCCCCCCCCCCCTTCCGCCGCATCCTCCATCTCCATCTCCTTGTCCTCCAGGGTCGCATCTCCTGTCCCAACCGGGCAGCTGGAGTCGAGAAGATGGCTCGGGCACTGAGATGCAAGAGTGCCTTGAGGTCTCGGGGCCCGGGCATCAGGGAGCAAGGGCACCTCCTCCTGACCCGTTCCGCCTCCTTCTGTACCCGTCGCATCTGCCATTCCCCGCGGGGACCCAGGGTCGCGGCTCGCCGCCGCTTTGGGTTGAGGTATCATTATCGCCGTCAGCGCTGGGCCCTGGTCTACCCCGTGAGTGGGGAGGGAGGGCTGTTCGGGGGGGATCGGGGTCTGGGTAGGGTCTGGGGGGGGCGTGGCAGGATCCAGGGCCTGGGCCCCCCGTTCCTGCGCTGGCTGGCCCCCTTCCCTTTCGTCGCTGTCCGATCTGTCGATCTCCCCACCCTCTATCGGCGCAGTCGAAGGTGGGCCGACTGCGGCCCGCTGAGGCTCGTGTCGCCTGGCTGCGCTGCTGCCGCGGTGGCCGACGAACCCGCGAGGACTGCGGGTCCGAATTGATCCGGGGTCGCAGCTAACGGCCGCTCTGAGTTGAGGGATCGTTGTGTCCGTCGGCACTGAATCCTGGTCTACCCCGAGTGGCGGGGTCTGCTGGGTTCCAGGGGTGCCCTGCTGCTGCTGCTGCTGCAGATGCTGCTGCTGCTGCTGCAGCTGCAGCTGCTGCTGCTGCTGCTGCTGCAGCTGCTGCTGCAGCGACTGTTGGTGCTGCTGCTGATGCTGCCGGCTTCCAGGGGTGCCCTGCTGTTGCTGCTGCTGAGCAGGGGGGGCGCCGAGGGCGGCGGCGGCGGCCAGTGCAGCCGCCGCGCCAGCGGCCTCGCCGCAAGCGGCCGCAGGGGCGGCCGCGGCGGCGCGGGCCACCGAGCCCACCGCCGCCGCCGCCGCCGGGGAGCCGGCAGCGGCGGCAGCAGCGGCCGCCGCGACAGCGGCCGACGCGCCGGCCGCGGCGCCGCCGGCCGCCGCCGCCACCAGAGGGGATCCGGCGGAGGCGGCAGCAGCGGTGGCGACGGCAGCGGCGGCGGCAGCGGCGGCGGCCGCGCCGCGGCGGCCGCGGGGGCGGCCGCGGCGGCGCCGGCCACCGCGCCCTCCGCCGCCGCCGCCGCCGGCAGGGAGCCGGCAGCGGCAGCGGCAGTGGCGGCGGTAGCGGCAGCGGCGGCTGAAACCACCGTCGGTCAGGACGGCGGCAGCGGCGGCGGCGAGAGCGACGGCGGCGGAGGGCCGCCCAGCCCCGGCGGGGCGTCCCGCCGCGCCGCCACCAGCCGCTGACGGCGCCGCAGCGCGGCCCCCGAGAGGGCGGCCCCGAGGGCGGACATGGCCCAGGCCCGAGTGCGCACCTGAGCGAGGGCGGGCTCGAGCCGAGATGGCTTGAGCCAGGCTATGGAGCAGATGGGGATGCGCGAAGTGCCCAGAATTAAAAAATGCCCCCCCCCCCCCCGAAGAAAACATCGAAGGGATTACACATTCGGCGCCGATTCGTTGATTTTGGGGCCGCAGAAGCCCCCCCATACACTTTGGGACATCGCCGCGCCATGCTATGTCAAGCTACGCGTCCTCATTTCCGTGCTTCCGCGCTTGGGTTGTGTCCCAACCATCCTGTGGTATTGGGTCCTCGTTTTGAAGAGACGGTCCCCGCGTTTCTCCTCCCGCTGCCCCCTCCCTACTCCTCTCATCATCATCATCATCATCATCATCGTCATCATCATCATCATCATCATCCTCATCATCATTCTCATCATCATCCTCATCCTCATCCTCATCCTAACCCTCACCCTCAT